GGCTGTTCTTGCCACCTTAAGACTGTTTGGTCATGCAGAGCCATAGCATTTCAGTTTCAGACGGTTTCAAATTTCTAAATATGATGAGTGCACACTCTTGTGCAGTTTTATGACCGAGGCCAGGTGGTCCTTTTGGATTGTGCCTTTGCTTACACATGAGGTGTAGTTAGCTTTATTTGACACTTTCGACGTTGCAGAATCAGATGCGTCAGATGGAGGCAAAAATGGACTCGATGACCTCTCAAGCAGCGGCGGTCAGTAATGCAGACGGCCTGGCTGGACGTCTGCGTGAGGAAAACACACGACTGTGTGCCTCGGTGGTGATGCTTGAGGAGCGCATTAAAGAGATTGAAGCGCGTCATCAACGCGACCTCGAGAGCGAACGCTCGCATTTGGACGCCCTCATGGTGAGTGCTCATCGTCTCTCCTTCTCCCTCACAGCTTAGTGGTGTTGATGCCACGAGAACTCTCCATCCACGCCTAGGGTGTGGATGAATTCCACTATTTTTACATTAGTAATCCAATAACTTGTCAATTACAGTGGTGAGAACACCTTCAAATTCACAGTATGAATGCAGTCAGTGCATGTATGCTGACCTATTTTTGGCATTCCGCTCTTTGTCTCTTACGTGTCCATTGTTTTTACCATAACCATGGTAACATTTTTGTTAACTTTTGTTTCCAACAAAGAACCAATCACATTATTACTGATTCAGAAGTGAAATTCACCTATCGAATGTGTAACTCTGAAGAAGTGAAAAGGACTTCTTTTTCAGTCTTCTTAATGATTCATGTACATCTGCAGACTGATTATGAATGTTGAGACTCTGGTGTTCTGACTCACATCACATCCGAATGATGCAACGGCAACAAGCACAAATCTTATTGCGCACCTTAGCCAACTCTCCGACTCCAAGATTGAAGCTTTGTAATGCGAAAAGGCAGCACAATCCTGGGTTATTCCACGAATTTTGGTAGGTATGCTCAAGGTCAAAGTAAAAGGAGACAAAGACAAGAAAAAGTAATGAGGGTAAAGGGCACAATGGCTTGAAGGTGAGCATCTGTGTGGAATGGTCATTCCAACCTGTGCTAGCGTTCAGGGACTTTAAAAGCATTGCTCTCAAATGAGCACACACTTTTTTTCATGATGAGACAATTTACATCTCCAATTGGGAATCTTAGGCCAATATGACAGTAGTTTGTTTCGGTAGTTTGACTTTGATGGGTCACCTGACGCCCCATAATCACTCCCCACGCGCATGGATAGGCTAAGAGAGTCACTTACATGGGCCAACTTTATGGGTGGGCAAGACCTTCTGTCCTAGAGAAAGGTGTGGCCACTCAGATGTGGGGCACGGTAATGGAGGGCATGTAACATTTATTTCAAACAACTGGCACCTCACCAACAGGGCGACTGAGTCGAAAACAACAACATGGGAGGTGGGATGCATTTGATGGGAGGACGAGAGCATTGAT